TTGTAAATGGCAGGCCTAACAGCAATAAACATTGGTGCATTTCTCAGGGTCTGAGCTCGTTTGAAATCTAGGTTATTGTAGTTGGATGTTATTTATATTTCGCTGGTATAAATTATATTAATGTTAATGCTTAAAAATATTTTTGGTATGAGTTGTTGCCTAGATATAACATAACAGAGACCGGTTCTCGATAACTTGGCCAACACCATTAACATTAAGATAACATTAACATTAAGATTATATTTTATTACAAATTATAACAGCATGCTTTCAATAAAAATATAATGTTTACATAATATGTATTCAATTTCGTATACTGAGTTTTTAATATGATATAGAAACTGGTAGCTGTCGACATAACTTTTTTCATGGTTCCGGTTTCTCTGATACATTTCCTTTATTATCTTACTCCCACGCTTGAATATCAAATACTATTTACCTTAGCCACTGTCTGCGATTGTTAAAAAATTCTATAACTTTCAATAGGTCAGGTGACTTGGTTAGGGACCAAAGAGATAATTTGAAATGACGGATTTAAGTACCCGTTAAATTGAAGTGGGTAACAATAACAACAACAACAACAACAACAACTCGGTTGCTGCCTGAAGCGTGACGTGGCGCAAGTTGGCTCAAAAAATAGCACAAACGCACATATTGACTGTCTGTGGTTCTGTGTGCGAGTGTCAGTGCGAGTGTGTGTTTGTCTGTGGCTTATATTTAATGCGCCGTTCAATCAATTTCTTTATTTTCCCCGACGCCAACCTTTCAACACACCCTCTTGATTCTTTGCAAATAGTGTCGCTTGCATTGCAAGTGAAGCAGCTCGACGAATCGAGTCGCGTCATTATCCTTTCACGCAAACAAAATGTTGCTGCGTGCCAGTATCTGAGGCGAATATTGTGTGGCGGTCCTTTTGTTGCTTGCAGCATCCTGTGACCAACTCAATATTTGCATTTGCCTTGACGTACACTTTTGCTTATTTATTTATTTATTTATATTTATTGTCATGCTTGTTTATTGTTTTGCCTTTGATTGGCTTCTACTGCGAATTTGGTTTGGGCTTTGGCCATGGGTTTCGATATTGGTTTTGGGCGTTGGCCTTGCATACCTAGGTTTTTTTTGCGGTAATCGGGTATCTAGACTAAGTTATCTAAGCTTATGGTAGAACAAAACATTTTAAAATCGAAAAGCTCAATATATTAAGTAAATCCCATGGAAAAGTAATATGATAAATATAAATATAATAGTAATATATAAATTCATAAAGTCAATATATTCGGAGGAAAAACGCATGATGCCTTTTTATTTTTTATTTTTAAATAATATAAATTAAAATTTATTAAACATGCAAATATAGTTTAATACATTTTTTTATATATTTATATATCTCTTCTTGTTTACACTTACATGTACATGCCATATTTGTACTCTATAGAGTATTTCTAAATCATATACGTATTAGATAAAAGCTCAACTCAAGCTGTCGACTGTCCCTTTGCAAATTCTGCTGGCTCATGTTGTTCCCTTTATTCCATCTTGCTTCTCATTTTTACGTTTTCTTCCTTTTGCTTGCTTGTATTTTGTATTGCCTGGTTGAAATCCCTCTTATCGGCGTATAGATTTATGGTTTTATGCTTAAATGATTGTTTGTTTTGGAGGGTAAAAACGTCCATAAAAAACCGAAGAGCTACGTCCATATCAAATGCAAATGTGATAATCAAGTTATAAATTTAAATTAAAAACCATAAATTTGCGACTGAGTGCGTGTGAATAATTTTTTAAAGTGTAGTTGGAGAGTTTTCGAACAGCGTGCCCTCATTTATATATATATATATATATATATATATATATATATATATATATATATATATATATATATAATATTTATATATATACAGAGATATTTATTGACGGAAATCACATATTTCCGTTTGGTTTTTGGGTCTACTGCGACACGACAGGCCATTAATGAGCACCACAATTAAATTTCATTCTCCAAAGTGACATAAAATGAGGTGAAATTAAAAAAAAAAAACAAAGAGAAATACATAAATGTATGCAAAATATTAAAACAGCAAATCCCTTTATTATGTGTGCGGCTCTGTGTGTGTGTGTGTGTGTGTGTGCCTTTATTTTCCAGGCATAATATAAAACATCCTGTTGCCGGTTAACAGTCAGCTGCCGGCCTGCCTGGCTGCCTGCCTGATTGTTGTTGTTGTTGTTGCCATAAATAACCCAGAAAAAGGTGTAGATTCAGGCGAGTGTGTAAATTGTGTGTGTGACTGGCTTAAATTTGCTGCGTTATTTGCGTCATTTCCGCAGCAAATCAACACGAAAATACCAAGGACAACACACACACAAAATTCAACAAAAGCCCCGAAGGCAACAAAAAGCATATATGTAGATTTTAAATGGAATTTATACACATATCTATAAAAGCGTGTGAATCCCTGTGTCGGTGTGTGCTAGTGTGTGTTAGTGTGTGTATGGGTTTAATCAGCCAATCAATTTCATATACATATTTTAACACTTGAATGCACTCTAAAGAATCAAATTCCATGCCGCTTCAATAGCCTCCAAGCTACATATTATTTCACGAAAATCACAACAATAGATTGATTATGCAAACTAGTTTTTGCCTATTCTGAACAACTTAATTCTTTTCAGAATCATTTTTTTTCTTTATATGTTTATTATCAGCAACAAATAGTTGGTTGTTAAAGTATAGAAACGTTTTGAGATCATTAAATATTTGCATACGATGAAGTTGTGTGAAGTTTTTTGCATTTTTTTTTCCTCAAATTGATGCCAATGTAACAAATCGTTTACATATACGTTTTATTGTGCGCACAAAATTATAATATTTTAAATAATATTAAAAAAAAAAACAAGAAAATTTAAAAAAAATAATTATTTATCACAGAATTAAAGAATTAAATTCGAAGCTGAAAATTGTTTATTTTTAGAAATATATAAATTTCTAAAACATAATTTAAAATAAAAAATTGGCAACTAAAGTTGTTATCAATTTTGGCGATAAATTTGCAATGCTATTCAACGAGTGTAAGCTCTTAAAATAATATTAATAAATATGCTAAAATAATATTATACTGTGCTGAACATTTATATATTATTTTGTTGTCTTCTCTGTGAAACATAAAAAATATTACAATCAATTAAATTTTATAAATGTATATCAAATATTAAAATGAATATTATAATATTATGCTGTCGCTAAATATATAGATAATCGTTTTTTTTGAGTTATTGCAATTTACTAAATATAACAAAATAATATATAGTAAATATTAAGATTCAGATGGCAATTATTCCGAATACTTAAGCAACTTTTTGACCCTTATACACAACAGCTACAAGAACCTGATGAATGATTAATTTCTGCGAAAATATTTTCTTTAAAAGGTGCAAAGCCGCCAACAGGCGAACGTTAGCTGTAATAACAGTTGCCATTCAAAAACAACAATAACAAGCTATAACAATAGTATGGCGATGCATTGCTGCAATTTTTCCTGCCCCTTTTCATGCTCGTTGCCTTCAACCAGGCCGCCGGGTTGCCACCCTTCGCGGTAATGCATTAACTTCTGCTTCGATAAATAAACAAGTTGAGCTACTTAAGATTTAAGTTGCAGTTGTTGTTGTTGTCGAACGAGCGTCGAGTTGTAAGTGTGCACAAATTTATAGTGGGTACTTTTTAACTGGCATCCGCTGCCCCTGTCATCTCCCCGCTGTCCCTGCGTATTGCTACAAAATGCACATTACGTATACGCTACGTATGCGCATTTCAGGCATAAAACTCTTATGCACAATGAACAGCAGCGACAGCGGCGTCAACGCCGAAGTAGCGGTTGACGGCTTGTGCGTGCAATAATAAATAAATAAATGTTTATGTTAAATTAAATTGAATGCAAAAATGCGGAAATTTAAAAAATTTCTCAAATGTTTTGCGCCTTGTTAGCTACGAAATGCAATGCTTCAGTTGTTGGAGGCCGCCGACAATTTAAGATGTATCTTTAAGAGTGCTCTTAACTCTAATTCTCACATACTCGCCACGCCCCTTTGGCAGGCCCATGTGGCAGTTGTCTGGCAAAGTGCAGCCATAAATACGTTAATGTTCGATATGTTACGGCAGGCGGCCGCTTGGAAAGCCAGCTGCAACTAACCAGGCTAAGTGGCTGCACTCAAAATGTTGCCAAATGCGCCACTCCCCCGCCCCACACTTTCAATAGACCACTTGCTGCAGCTTATATGTACCTATGTGTATCCATCAACTCGCCCTCATAGCCGAGAGCAACAAAATTGTGTGTTTAAATTGAAATCACTTAACTAACTTGATGCCAGCCGCCTTTGGCAACTCCCGCAACTATCTACACACTCTGGCTTTCTGTCTACACTCCGTAGGTGGCATCAATTTTTCAGTAATGTCATTTACACTAACATCAATTTAATGCCTGCTTGGGAGTCGCATGTGTGACTATGCTTGGAGGGTTTAATTGTAACGAAAGTCACAAAAGAGAATCCTAATAATATTGTGTTTATCAATATTTGAATTTTATTTAGGCTTCAGCTTAGTTTAGAAGTTGATTTTTATGCACCAATATTTATTATTTATGTTTGTTTTGAGTTCGTGACTTAGGCTAAATATTGAACAATGCTAAAAGCTTCGGCAATATGTCTAGAGGTCATAAAATTATGAAAACATATTACATATTCATAAAAAAAAAAAACCAAAGACCAAAAATATGGGAATAAAAACAAACAAGTTTTGATACGCAGAAACAAACGAGAACAAACTTGGGCATAACAATTTGCTTTGCATAATAATGGGGCGTAGGATGTGGCAAAGATAGAAATGTGGGGACATGTTGTGGGCTTGGCAGTGTGTTTTCAGGGAATGCATTTTCATTTCGCTTTCCAGACACGTGCCAGCGGCGTAAACAACACAGAAACGAAATATCAACAGCACAAAAATATGAAGAAATGACGAGGCCAGCTAGCTTTAATCGTTTACAATTAAAAGGAGTAGCAAGTTCTGATATATATGCAAGAATTACTGCAGTCTATTAAGCTTGCGCGCTATAAATACTCTCAGTCGGTAGACACCATACTGTAAAATCGAACAGGTAATCAGGAGAATTGTTGTCAGGGCAATGGTTCTAATGGCTATTCCCAGTTTTCTATAGTCTAACATCGGATATATGTAGACGTGACCACGTCTGCAAAAGTTAACATAAAAGATAAATTTAAACATACTCATATATCTGTATACTTACGGATCACGGTATCCAAGTAAATAGTATAAACAGGAAAATGCCACATAAGCAAGCGAAAATCCCAGCGGGTAAATAAAGTGCATAATACGCGCCGGCTGCGCCACGACCATATGATCTATTGTGAAGAAGAACGGAGGCAACGCATGCGTCCATATGTTATTCAAGGTATTTAGCCGCATGGGATTATCGGTGCCTCGGTCACGGGGAAAAATAAGTATCCAGTAGAGAATACATATGATATTCGAAACGATCAAATTTGTCCAATATAAAGCCCAATAACATTTAATCAAACAGGTGCGACGCACTTGGAGATGAAAAAAAGGGTTTTTATGAAAGTTAGTAAAATATATGGAAATATAGAGTTAATATAATATACATATATATTATTATTAACAAACTATTTTCTTTAAGGGATATACAAGACATGCATGCATAACGAAATAAAATACGCATTTGATACTTACTCATTCTTTCCGGATTACAGTGATATATGCTCACAAAAATTGCACCTGTTATGCTAGCTAGCGAACACAGAACGAAACCCCAGTTGGTCAGATAGATAAGCCAGTAACCTCTATAATAATAGAGTATTATATTGGTGACCAAACCAGAGCCAAAGAAGGCGGCCAAGCACCAACGGTAGATAAGAAACCCACACGACTTCAGTTCCGATTGCCACTGGTGAATAGATAGATTAGACAAGAAAAAAGATACTATTTATGCTGATCTTTTACTAACTTGGGATCTATGAAAATCCTCGGGTGAATGATGATTAAGCCTACATTGCTCAGCATGAAACTGCTCACTAAAGCTGATGGGTTCCTGACGAAGCTCTGCCAATTCGAGTCTCTCTTGTTTGGCGGCAGTCATCTATATATAATTCCTTTGAATTTCTGTTTAAGGAATCAAAACTAACTACTACAAATTTTATTCAATTTGAAAGCAATGGCAAAGGAAAGACAGGAGCTTTAAGCAAAACGCTTAAAATTAAGTGGCATACACATACTTTTTACCTCTCTTAGCCGGCTGCCAGGCTTCTTATCTGCGTTGCATAATTAACAGTTACATGGTTGTGGGCCTGGCTCTGGGACTGAGCCTGGGCCTTGTTGTGGTTCCGGTCTGGGCCACCAGCCTGATGCGTTGTGCGGCAAATTACGACATGTGCCTGACATCATTTCCCTTTCCACTTTATACTCGCCGCATACGCTCGCCTTACTCTTCACCATGCCGAAGATCCCACGGCGACGACATCCTTTTGAGCCAAGCAGACAGTTTTAATTGAGAGACACTTGGCTGAGTTGTAGCGCGCAATTAAAATGCCATTACATATAAAAACAAAGCTCAAGACCAGGCACTGTGTGGCAAATGCAACTAATACAAATATTTCACTATGAAAACAAAAAATTCAGATGATATTTTGAGAGATTTTCAATTGTGTGCAATATTCTTAAATTTTCCAACCATTACTCTTTACTTTATATTTTCTTTTCATATCCACATTTGATATGCCGCGTATTTGTTTTTAAATAAAAATTCAAATATATTTGTTTCCTAGAAATATTGTGTTTTAAATAAAAAAAATTTAGTGATCAAATTTTTATTTTTTTGTTGTGTAACGGAGGCCCAAAGTTAATTTTGAATGGTCTCATATTATATGTACATAAATTAATGTATTAAATCAAAATATAAAGTAATGTATGTAATTAAAATAAAAAACTAATTCTATGTAAAATAATATGTTTATGTGATATTTTTGTTTTAAACTTGTTAGGTATATATTTTTTTTAAGTTTTAAATTTTACTGACTAACAAATTGCGTTTCAATTTTTCCATTTCCCATTTGGTATTTATTGATTCATTTCTAAACAATTGTTTGGCCAGCCTTGCCCCACTGCTCAGCATCTTTGTAATTTGTGAAGCAAGGATTTGTGTGTACGTGTGTGTGCCTCAGTAGGCAGCGTGACGCGTCGGTTAGGTGCGTGCAGTTGAAACGGCATTCCTGAGGCTGCCTTGGGGCCGTGCAACCATTTCCTACCAGTTTGCCTCGCAGCAGCACAACCTACTCCGTTGTGATTTACTTGGACTGCGAATATCTCAATTTGTGGGTCCCACTTTCTGCCACTATGGCAACTATGCTTTGTCAGCGCTGCCAACTTTTTTGCATACATTTTGTTGCCTTTTTTTCGTTTTCTTTTTTTTTTTTGGCTTGCACAAATCACGCAGTTCTATCAAAATCACATGTAACGACCACGCCCACATCCACCTGCGGGCATTAGAAATGCAAATTTAGTGTAAAAAGTTCACCCTGCCAGCGCGTTTCAATCCCTCTCCCTCTGTCTATCTAGCTATCTATCTACCATTCCTCGCCCGTTTTTTTCCATTTTTGTGTGTTAGTTTATTTTTGTGGCATTCCAATTGATTTGCTGATTTGCGCATCAATCAAAGAAAATTTGCGCTCCAAGTTTGCTTTCATGTGGCCCATTGTTTGGGGTTTCCTTTGGATTTTCCGTCATCGCATTGTTTATAGAGTTATGGGACAGGGGAAAAATGGATTGGGACATGACTTGACGTACATTTTGTGTGGCTTAACGTTACGTTTTACATTGAATTTTGTTGTTTATCTTTTTATTTTGTAGGGGTATCGGGTACGAAATTTCAAAGCCCTGTCAATTATGTGACCTCTGTTAATACCAGAAAGGAAATAAATGGCAGTTTCGATGCTATGTCATTCTTAGATGCCGATCGAATTTAGTCGAACCCTTTTTACATTACGTCTCAGAGTCAATTATATTATTATATTAATTATAACAGCTATTAATTATGAGCGTTAACATTTTTGTGTTGCACGTTTAGTAAATATAGGAAAAGCTAACAGATTTTTCTTTTAATTTTCTTCTGTATAATTATATTAAATGTGCACTGCTTTTATATATTCCTTATTGCCTAGATTGTTATAAAATTAGCTATTCTCTCTGAGGCATTCTTTTTTTTTCCCAAACAAATTAAATTTTTGTGCTGAGTGAATTCCTGAGCGCTTATGCTTCCAATTCCATTGGCCTAGCCCCCAACAATGGCGGCCAATAATGATTTGTAATCTGTGCCAGTTGCGAGGTACACAGGACACAGCGGTTCGAGGACATTGGACATGTCTGGCATGCCGCCCACGAGCTGGGCACAGAATTCAATTTTGCAAAAGAAGCGGGGCACATTGGCATGCAGGTCGCAAACGTCATCATCGTCGACATCATTGTCAGCTCTTTGGCAGTTTGCCATCAAATTGGCAGATTGGCGGCTTTAAAGTGCGTGCCATGCCGTTTCGTGCAGCTAACTCAAGGGTTAAGTGTGTAAATGTAAGCCAGTTGAGCGCCATTTTGGCCTTATCGCAATTTACCAAGCGCTTCCTTTAACACACCTATATAGTCGTGGTAGACCAAGGAGTCGAGGGTTACTTTTAAAGCAAAGGTAACTTTCCCCCCGAGTCCCGTCGGCGTCTCTCACGTGTCATTATCTTAATTTAAGGCAGCCAGGAACCAGAAACAGAGCTCAGACCGAACTCCCCCGCCCAGTCAGTTGGTGCAACTCGCACCGATAGAAGCTTCTTTCAACTCCCATATCTCTTACTTGAATACACAATTATGTGGTTCACAGTGGGTGTGCATAGGTGGGTGGATTGGGTGCGCATGTGTGAGTGAGTACGGTGTGCGGTAAAAATTAAATTTCTCATGCTAAGAGACGGCGATATCGTTGCTCATCATTATACAGTCAGGCATGGTCCGTGGCTTGTTACTATGCATGGCTATATCACGACTTCAGATTCGTCTCGTGTGCCCTGACGTGGCAGGGTGGATCTATTATGTGATAGTGCTTGTCCTTGTAACCAGGTGTGGTATTGGGAGCTGAATGACCCTTTAAGGATATATATTAAATTGATGTATCATTAATAACAATAATTATGAAGAGCTCTCCATTATTTGGATCTATAAATTTATACTCTGTTAAACGACATTAGAAAACATTTTACTTTCAATAGGCTTCTTTAATGGGTGCTCTTGTATAACACCAGCATCACCATAAGTTAAGCAAGGGAATTCCGGTTTCGCCTTGCTTGTTAAGCTAAATTGACGCTCTTGTTTTTACTTTGTTATTAGACTCGTGGGAGTTCCCGCATGCAATTTGCAATCTTTCCAAGAGCGTGTGCTATGACAGTTTTTGTGTAAGTATATTTATCAAATGAAAACATAAATACATGAGAGCACACCATATAGAATCTGTGTGTGGGTGTATGTGACTTGTTTATGTGTGTGTATCAGTGGGTGTGCGAGTGTGTGTGTGCGTGTGTATGTGGCGTAATGAGGCCTGTGCTGCTGGCGCTGGATGTGTGCGGAGAATATCAACATTTTATTGCACATGAATTTCAAATTTCCAACTCGCACAGTTTACACATGAAATCAACAAACTGTGACAGTTGATGTGTCCAATACACACACACACACCCACATCCACACATATCCATACAGTATATATGTTCTGCACATTCCTGATATTATTGCATTTGCAGTGCCGAGCTGTCAAAATCTGCTCGCAAAATGTACAAATGAATGCAATTTAAAGTTTTTTTTCCCAAAACAAAATAATAAAAAAAATCGAATCAGTGGGAGACTTTTAAAATATATATACCACAGAGGCATATTGAAAACTCGTTATTGTTTTGATAACTTGCAAAGAGAAAAGCGTAAAAAAAAAACAAACGAGAGCATTGAAGCTAAACACAGTTATTATTCTTTTCAACTGCTTCCAATTAAATTTGATTTTAAAAATATATCTAGAAAACTACTGAATAAATTCGTGCTGCCAAATATATAACTTTTTTCCCAAAAAATGAATAAGAATCTTTTTGGAAAGTAGAGGTTTTTTTTGCAATTTTTTGCATACTTTTTTACTTAAATTATTAAAAAGAACAAAAAAGAAATTATTCGCTATGTTAAGCTAATTTAAAAATGTTCTCCTGGAAATGGTTTTAAATAGAGAAATTATAAATTAAACTTTTTGTCGCAGCATTTCTTCTGCAAGCGAATTAAATCAGTGCGAGTGAAACTGAATTCATGTTGAAATTGTGCATAAATGAGGGCGAGCAAAAGGACACACACACACACACACACACACACACATACACATATTGAGCGACAATCAATTATGCAATTCGAAAAGCCAAGTCGTGTCCTCGAACACAACATACAGAAGCAGAACGAAAAATCGAAAGGCATTTGCGTCAATTTCTCAATGAGCATCGCTGGGAAGGGGGTTAGGCCCTTTTGACCGGAAGGGTGGGAACAAAGTGGACGCCTGCAATGCGCCATAAGCTGACTACAGAACCCGAACCAAGTGGTTGCAAGGCAGGACAATAACTGTCGGCCTGGCAGGCAGGTTATATATATATATTTTTTTTATAGACAAAGTGAAGAACTCTCGACTGATGACTATTTTCATTGAATATTTGTGACTGTCGAGTCAAGTGAGTGCGTGTGTTTGTGTGTGTGTGTATGTATCCTGAGCGTGTCAGAAGTTTGTGCCAAAGGCTACAAAACAGTTTACACAACAATAAGAAAAGCGGTTTTGCCAGCAGGGGTTGCCTCGAAAAATTTAGCTGACCTCAATATTTGCTCAACTTTTCAGCAACAATTTCGTTACACGATTTGCCCTGCCTGACTGCCTGACTGCCGGCCTGCCTGCTTGCCACGCCTCAACCCTTTCGATATGAATGTGACGGGCAGAAAGTGCACACTGTCATGAATGCCTGCAGTTTGGCAGTTGCGTTATGCAGCGAAAGTGTTTCTGGTTTGTGCAAGTGCCTGAAGTTGCTCAGTTTTGTTGGTTTATTGCTTTGATTTGATGCCAAACTTTTGCATTGCTTATAAATCCCACACTCCTGTTACTTCTT